TTGTTCTATGTTCCAAGCCAAGTTTGAGAAGGGGAACACAAACTATAGTTGCCATTTCCAGTACCCTGCCTTCCTGCCATGGTATACACATGCCAGCATAATCCTCCATTTTGCAAACTGTTCTCTGCCCCCCTTCATCTTGGGGAAAGTTCTCAGCTATCCATAGATTCTGTCCCTTAAACTCTTGAAACTTTGAAGCACTTGCTACTAGTCCTCTGGGAAAACCTGCACTTCACAAAGGAAAGCCAGGAAGAAGGATGGAAGTGTAATCTAGCTTTTGACCACTTTGGGAATGAAGAAAAGAAAAAAAACGCACACACTAGAAATCAGTGAGATGCTGTGCTGGTTTTGAAGATTTCACTGCATTCTGCTAGTGATAGTCACTCAGCATCTCTGTGTGCCTTGTTTATAATAGTATGTGATCAAGAAATACTTATTATGTGGCTGGACTATCGTTAATATTTTCTTTTAAAATCAATTATTTTGTAATTACAAGATTTTTTTGACATTTAAGCATAATATTTCGCTTTTTGAACATTCATCTTTATGTCCTTTAAATATGTGCCTTTATTTACCCAAATGACTTATTTACAATTGGAATTTTGGAGTTTCTTGAATTGAATGCACAGATACTGACATAATGTAATGGTTATTACATAGTGAGATAATGGAAGAAATCACATCAAATGAACAAAATTTCTATAATCATGTTTTTTGGATAGGATTGCATTTTTAATAACAATCTTCATTTTTATAGAGATAATTTAAATCTGAGATTTGTGATCATATATTTTGACAACCTCACTGATCAGTAAGAATACTTGTTAATTCTGAAATTAAAATATACAAATAAATTTCACAAAAATTACATTTGCAGTCCCACATTTACTGTAATACCATATAATAAAATATGTATTTTCATTTATTATTCAAACAGAACACTGTCACATAATTGATATGCATTAAAGCATTAAAAAACCAGATGCAAAAAACAAATATGCTGTTTATGATTTCACTACCAGTATCCTGATTCCAAAGGCGTATTTTATTATGAAGACAACATCTTGACTGCATGAGATATCTAGAGTAATGCAAGGGGAATACGAATTGAGAGAAGGGCATTAGGCTTTTGTGTTTAAAGAGATATTTCAGTAGAGCCATTGCAGAAGGTTACAGGGTAGGTAGATTTTGAGAAAGTGGGAGTAATGAATGCTTTTCTCTCCCTCCCCCTTTTCCTCTTTGTCTTTTTTCTGTCCTTTGTCCTTCTTATAATATATGCTGATAAAAAGAACGCCATCCGGGGAAATAAGTAGGAGTGGTTGACAGGGACTTGGGTTCACTTTTTCTGTCAGTGCAGAATAAGGGAGGCCTATCTACAAGTATCCTGAGAAACAAATGATTTTTCTTCTTTCATTCTATTCCCTGCTGGGGTGCCCAAACCAGTAGTATAAACATGGCCTAAAACCAAAAAGGAATGTTGAACACAGGTGAGAGGTGGATACAGGTTGCCAAAGGCTAGATTCAGGAGGATGGAAGTCCTGGTGGAGCTTGGTGTGATGCCTTTGTGATTGGTCTCCTGAGCTTAGGGTGAAGCACTTGGCAAAGAGCTGTTCCAGTACACTTAGGTACATCTCTCTGGAGAAGAATGCTGTCCCATGCTGGTGGCTGTCCTCCTTAGCAACTACTCTGTGGGCTGAATTTCTCTCCCAAAGTCAGTGAGACTGGAAAAGATCTCCCCTCTAAGAAAATGAGAACCTAGAGGCCTCAGCTCATATCCCAATCAAGTAATTCTATTTGACTTGACTTCTATTTTTTTAAATATTTTTTGCTTTATGTTATATATAATTCTATTTTTAAAATATTTCTATTTTTAATCTATTTTTGCTTTATGTTATGTATAATCAAGTGCAGAATTATCACATACAACATGTATTGAATACTTTTAATAGTTAGTTACCTTCTTATCTTTAGAATGATTTTTGCCTTAAATACCAGTTTTTGTTATTGTTTTTAATCTTTCCCTGGGATGCATGTTTTCTAGCCTTTTATCTGAAACATTCTGTTCCATTATAGTTTAGGTGCATCTTTGCTAAAGTACATTTAGTTGAATTTTTAAAATCTAAGGTAATGATGACTGCTGATGTGCTGGGTTGTTTTTACTGTCTCAGACCGTAATTCCTGATTTTCCTGCTTTATCTGTGTTTGTTTGTTTCAATTCTTCTCTTCTGTGTATTGATTTTTTTTCCAAAGCATTTTTTTTAGTGTTTATTTTTTAAAGCATATGATTTTTTTCTTTACTGGTTTGGATAGCATGAATTTTATTTCAGTTACTTTTTTGTGGTTACCAAACTAAAATTTCATCTTTTCATCTTTATTTACTTGCATGAAGATTAAAACTGAAATTCTTGGTTCATGGAGCCTTAGCACATAACCTGAAGGCAGCTGTCTGCTTCAGCTGTGTTACCATTAGAATTACTGCTCCCCATTTTATTTCTCTCCCTTGAGGATCCCCCTGCTTTCTCCCCAGCTCAAACATGAATTAAGTTACTCCTTTAAATACTTTATCCAGCATTTTCAGTGCTCCATGGCAGTAAGGTTTATCAGGATATTTAGTTCTCAGTATGAACTTGCTTGTAAATTTAGTTTTTTTTCCTCAAAATGAACTAAGAAAAGGGTAAATTATTTATATATGACTTTTCTATTTAGCAAATTATTATTAACTACTACTAAGGAGGTATCTATCTTAACTATCTTGCTGAACTGCATTTCTAAGGTAATTTACTGTTTGCTCAAAGGGAGGTATCCTATGTAAAATGGCAATAATACATGGTCCAAAAGATAAGTGACCAAGCGCAGTGCTGTGTGATTACAGTAGTTTCACCTCAGTGGTCAGTACCCTCATATATATATATATATATATATATATATATATATATATGCCCTCATATATATATGTACCCTCATATATATATATATATATTACACAGTTTTCCTGAAATAGGTGCCTTTTTGATTGAGCCCTTTTATCAAGAGAATCGATAAAAATCCTTTAAATCTGAATTTTAAAATAAAATTGATTTTAAATCATTAATACATATATTCTAAATCAGGAGTTGACAAACTGAGCCACAGGCCAAATCTGGCCTGCCATCTGTTTTGGTAATAAAGGTTTGTTACAACACAACCGTGCTCCTTAGGTCATTAACTATATTACTTTCATGCTGCAACAGTAGAGCTGAGTAGTTGCAACAGAGACTATGGGCCACAAAGTCTAAAATATTTACAATGTGGCCTTTTACTGAATATTTTGCCAATCCCCATACTAACTCATGTTCTGTATTACAAAGTAGGTGTACAGGATTTTTTTTTTTTAATCTTTCTCCTCTTCCTTTATATTTACTTAAGTAGAATTGGTGTTTCCAAATATTTATTCACACACTCTCTATTCTTAGTTTATTTTAGTTTATTTGATTAGAGATATTTTCTTGCTCTCACTCCTCTTTAATGATTATTTCTTTACTAGAAGCCTTAATATTTCCAATGATGTTTTATATGGTTACTTTCAAACAATCCATAATTACTTTCTATCCATTTGATACCAAACGAATGCTGCTGAAAATATAAAAATATTGTTGTACCAATCAGATTCTTGCATTCATTAAATATATCACTGTATCCGTCTATAAATTAAAATTGTTTGGCCTTAAGTTGGAAAGGGTTTCAGATTCTAAACTACTTAGTGTGCTAGATATAAGTGTTTTTAATTATGGAAATTAAATAGAGAAAGTGTCAATTGGCAAAGCAAGAAAGGGATTTCAGAATTTTAACAGTAATCATTAAAATTCTGCTCAAGAGCTGTTGATGTTAAAAGGAAATCATAATGAAATCCCAGTACTTCAAACACTATAGTGCTTGGAATTAACTTATTTGATTATGTTTCCAGGGAGTACCAGTTCCCCACAGTTATCTTAGATTAGAGCATCAAGCTAACTGCCTGAATTTAACAATAGCATTTGTGTACTCTGTGTCCTGGGGAATACCCACATGAAGCGGACTAGCACAGATACACAGATAAATTTGATTAGCCATTTCCCAGGAGTTTCTCTTTTGGTGTAATAGCCAGTGCCTATTGTGTAGGCCTGGGACAACACTCAGCTCTCATTTACATACAGAATCCTTTCATTGTGGAGTCACTGGATGTCAAAGTGTTCTATACAGAACAACAAACAGTTTCTATTTATACCAGTTTTAAATTGAGGGATAGAACTGTCAGGAGGGAGAATCAGATTAAATGTGAACTTCCTATGTGAAATGGTTTCCCTCAGCAACTGTCCCTTCACCAGTAGGTGTGACATGAAAGGACTCGCTAGCTGAAATATAATGTATAAAATAACTTTCTGTATTCTATGAAATCAGATATGTGGTGCTAAGTAGTAATCCCCAGGAATGGGGGTAAAGGGAGATATCTATTGGAAGACATTACCTAGCACAGTAGCTTAAACAGCAATTTTCCAGGTATGTACCATGCTCAAATAGCACATCATGGAATGAATTTACTGTGATTTTTAAAAAAATTATAGTCAGTATTAATAAAAGAGGATATGAGAGAAAATACCAGAGCACATTGTATATAGTGTAAGTATTTATACATGTTTTGGCTTCCGTTTTATACATACATGATTTTAAGGTGAGTTCCTGTCCAAATAGTTTGAAAGCCACCTGTTGAAGAAGCAGAGGCTTGTAGTGGGCTCATAAATTTTATTGCCATGGATGGTGATTATATAGAAATCTTCTTACATGAGTTAGTGCTTGTGAGCAAAACAGGCACTAGCACTACATATGAATGCATTTCTTACCTTTAGAGGTAAGATCAGTGGAAAAAAATGCTTTTATAAGGTTTGCTTCAGTTCAAATAACTATACCTCTCTTCCTTTAGGAAAAAATTGTGTTTCTGTCCTCCATCATTTACTTAATTTGCTACCATTTTCTTTTTTGCCCAGGAGATTGCATCAACAATTTGAAAGCTATAAGGAACAAGTGAGAAAAATTGGGGAAGAAGCCCGTCGTTACCAGGGTGAGCACAAAGATGATGCTCCGACTTGTGGAATCTGTCATAAAACGAAGTTTGCTGATGGGTGCGGCCACCTCTGTTCCTACTGCCGCACCAAGTTCTGTGCCCGCTGCGGAGGTCGCGTGTCTCTGCGATCCAACAATGTGAGTGTTTCGTGAGCATGAGAGGGGCCCTGCCTGTGGATAAGAACCAGTACTCCTCCCAAGCAGAAAAGAAGGGCGTGTTAGAAAGCAGACTTGTGCATGAATGTCTATATTAATATAGCCTCCCCCCAATTTCTTTCATAAGGTCCATCATAGTACAGCAGTGATGAAAATAACTCATAAAAAGACTCTTTCCCTGTGTGTATATCTTAGTAAATGATTCCTGTTCAAAACTGACAGATTACCTGTAGGAGTGAATAATTTTTCTGAGGAATGTAGTAAGTGTAGATTTACTATCAGGAATTATAAAACTCTTGAATTTTGTTATAGTGAATTTGTCTTGTTAAAATAGATTAGCTTTCATTTCTGAAACATTTGTTTCAGATTGAAATTATGTGGCATTAAATTTAACCCAAGATGGTAATGTATAAAGCAGTGATTAGCTCTACAAGAGTAATTTCATATTCACTGTCATGTTCAAGAAATAGTGCTAAGTTTAGCTCATGGAAATTACTTGAATATTTATCATGGCTATCTGAAAGTAGAACATTCCTATATGGAGAGCGGTGTCTGGGAACACTCAAAAATTTTCCATATAAATTAACAATGATAGTATTTTCAGATTCCAAAAATAAACTACCTAATCATACCGAACAGGTATGTTCTACTATTGGATACTGGGGAAACTTGAATGTCAAAATGCATTGTGGATGTGGGGGTGAAGATTGCACTTATTTTTTCTCTATGAGAGGTAATCTGGCCTGATGCAGTTTTTTGGTTTAAATAACAACTACTTTTCTAGAAAGCCAGGGCTTTAAATATATACATTTTTTTTGAGATACTATAGACACTAATATGCTAATAGGATTCATTATTATTTACAAAATAGTAAATGATTCTAATAAATATTTAGTTTAGACTATATTTTAATGGTATTCTTTATCACATTCCCTCTGTTAGTACCATAGAATTATTTATAGGATAGCTGGATGAGTTTTTCTTGTTATAGATATGCAGTGTTATATGAGGCAGTTAAGATTATCATACAACTAAAGAGTTCCCAGTGTTCCTTTAAGGAATTTCTCATATTACTAACCATGCATAGACTTCAATTTAATATAAAGTCATATTTTAAAATAGCATGTTTTATACACTCTTCATGTTTTCCTAGTTGGGAAAATTGCAGTTAAAAATTAAATGAACCTCTCAACCACCATTGTTAATTTTCGTAGTATTTCAGCTGTAAGTAGGTTATTCTAAAATCTCTTTCAGGAATGAAGACATTCAGTAAAATAGATATATCTTGTTTGTTAAAATGAACCTACTGTAATCTCTATCATCCTAGAGAGATAATTAAATTATCTGAACAAGAGATTATTTGTCGAAGAAACTGGATAGTATGATTGTCATGAGAATTAAATTTAAAATTTAAAATCTGTATCTTTATGATACACACATTTGATTGTTTTAAGGTTCCATTTTGATGACCACACAAGCTTTCTTTCATCCCCCTAAAAGTTTTTTGTTTTAGTTAACCCTCATATGTTACCTTAAAGTCTCTTTACAACAACCTTTGGTCAAGATAGAGTCTTGCCACATGAAAAGTGCACAAGAACTGTTTGTTGATTTTCCCTTCTTTACTGTTTCAAAACACACTATTTTGCAATTATTTCTCACCATGAGACTTGGGAATGATATTGAAAGTATTTTACAACCTCTGTGGTTAAGGCACTGTCCAGTCTGAAGAGGTGCTGGCAGTAAGCAACATGCCACCAACATCTCAGTGTTAATGATGGCCAAGTGCCTTGCACTGTTGAGTGCTTTTAGCTTCCCATCATAGATCCAAGGCAAGCTGGTGACAATACAGGTAACAATACAGTTAACTATTGATATATTAAAATTGTTAAGGTCAAGGTCATGTTTTAAAAAACAAAAGGGTGGGCCTCCCCAGTGGTGCAGCGGTTGAGCGCTGGGTTGCAAAGCTGCCCGCAGCCTCTGCAGCACTGGTTCGATCCCTGGCTGCTCCCCGGCCACCAGAGGAGGGTCCCACATGGCACGCAGACCTATCCTGCCTCCCGCTGCTCCCCTCAGCAGTGTACTTTGGTCCTTCTGCCTGCTCTGCTCCCCACTCTGGCTCTGGTGAATTCTCTCACCCTCCCGTGCTTCTGACTATACCCAGTGCTTGTATAAATAAATAAATCTTTAAAAAATAAATAAATAAAAAATAAAACAGTCTGTGTCAGCACATGGGAACTATAGTTCGAGTCACCTTTAAAAAAAAGTAAAAAAGAAAAAATAAATAAAAAAAGAAAAAAGAAAAGGGTGTTTAAAGGAAATTGAGCTAGGGGGTACTTTTGCTTTAGAGCAAACACTCAGGCCAATTGTAGTTCAACCTTCTTTATACTAAATCCATCCAATCTTGGGAAAAAATATTCAAAGAAACAAAAGAAGAGAAAGCACAACTTAAAGTACTTAATCAAAAGCAGAAGACAAACGAGTGCATAAAGGTCATTTTTCCTATGACATTGTAAATGTTCAAATATATATTACAAATAAGTATTGCTTATGAAATGAGTTATGACTAAAATAATGTATTTCTTTTCTCATTTTCACTTAGTACAAACATTTCCCATTCTTAGATATTTCTAAATCACAACTAACATATTTTAACAGTAATTTGAGAAATATATTCATATAATTCTATGCATATTAATGTCTTTTCAAAAATAGGTAAACTAAATATGGTAGTGAATTAATTTTCTGAAGAATGATTTACATGTAGATTTAATAACCTGAGTTGTAAATATTTCAAAATTTTAGCTCCCAAATTTTGTATTTAAGATATAACAAGATCCAAATATGTCCATTTTTTAATGTAAGATTGAACAAAGACTACTTTGGGGGAAGAATACACATCTGCTTTTCCAAATGCCTGGGTTTTAGCACTTTGAAGTAGCATGAAATTGTTTTCTTAAAATCTCTTTATTAATGTGTGCCTTATTTTTCTTTCTCTTCTTTTTCCTCTCTCTTTACTCTGCTTCCTTGGATGCTTTCCCAAAGGAGGACAAAGTGGTTAGAATTCATGCTTTCTTTTCTATCATTTTTAATAATGTTGTGAAATTTATTAAGTGTATGTTTTACTGAGGGTTGTTAATCACTATATTTCACAAAGAATTGATATGCTAGGAAGAACTCATTCCCAGTTCTTAAGGAAAAAGTAATAAAACAAACATCTAGCAACACTATAGAGCTTTATGGGAATAGGTAAAGTCTGGGCAGCTTGGGTTTGTGAGGATATTTTATATAATTTATATTATTATGAAATCATTTGTCCTCTTAGCTCTTAAAGTATTGATGATTCTATCTGCCTTCAGGAACAATAAACTTCAGTGGGCTCTTTCTCAGCACTTAGTAGACAAATCACTTAGGTGATTGGAAACTTTATTTCAGAATGCAATATACTGATTTAGTGTAGAGAAAGGATGAATTTAAAATTAAGAACTCAAAATGAAATGATTTTTCTATAGAAAACAGGTAGCAGAGTTCTCATATTGGACCACGTTGTGCTTTTCTTCCTCGTTTATAGAAATCACTCACTAGAGGAATGAAAGATCACTTTTAACTCCGATCAGCTACAGAAAGTACAGAGGCTATAGTCAGGAAGATATGATCCAAGTGGAACGGCCAGTCAGTCTGTCCTTTGTATACATTCATTTGGTATAACTATAATTTCCTCAGGCTCATTAATTTCCCAATATGAAACTGAGGCAATGAGTATTTTGGGTCCAATATATCAACTCAGCTGCCTTTATTCAACTGTTTCAAAGTTTAAATGATGTACTTAAGTGCATGAGAAGCAAGCATGACATTAAATTGAACATTAATCTGTGCTTTAAAACTTGATGCTAGCATATGTTCATCAGTTCTTCTATTAAAAAGAAATCAGGATGAAAATTACACAGGGTATTTTGTTTTCACTAAATATGTTTGCCTCTACCACTGGTGCTTCGTGTGAGATGATTTTAGGAGTTATTATTTTAATGCAGTTATGTTCTGCATTAGAGAAAGTGTTGCAACTAGAATATCAAACTTTTGATTTCATGAATATTATTGCTGTGGGTGAGTCTATATTTGAAGTGTAGACAATTTTTAATTCTTTTAAGTAATAGAAGTTTAAGTAAATAATGCTGGTGGTATCCAAACGTGGTGGCAAGACTTCAACTACTCCTGCAGGGCTGGCCTGATTCATTGTCCCTTTGGCAACACAACTTACAATGGCAGGTTATTTGTGTTCATTATGATTACTGACTGTGTAATGAGAATTCAGGTGGATTTTGTGGTTGTCAGGCTAAAAACAGAGTAGAGAGACCAATGAAATGCAATCACTTTCAATTACTTTCTTCACTTTGATTAGAAAGTATCTATCTACTGTTTGTTTTTAAGTACTTTTTCATACTTTCATTAAAACTCTTTATAGCTTATTGTAGTGGTTCAATGAATTGCCTTTCTCATCCAAAAGGACTGAAGCCAGATTTTGTCTCAGCTGTATTAAAGAGAGTAACTGAATATTAAGCAAAGTACTTGATTATAGGTTCTTTGTTTATTCCTTTTTATTTAATATGAACTCATTTCATTTGGTAGAGAAATTAAAATTTACAGGTGTGTGTGTGTGTGTCTGCATGTATGTTGGTATGAATATAAAAGGAAAGGTATGTAAAAAGAACTTTTGTATCAAAGCAATCTCCTTTTTTATCACTATAACAATAATGAATTCTACTTTGTCTATTAAATTGATGAATAAGTGTGATTGAAATATTAGTGCATATGATAGCCTTAGTGTATCTAAGAGTAGCTAACATATAAATTTTCTTTTTAATGACCATATTTTTGCAGTGTGACAATATCTTATTTTAAAACGTTGCCTCTAGCCTAAATCATATCTAATATTTACTTGAAAGATTGTATACTTGCTTATAAACATAATGGCTGTCATAAAGAAT